ATGGGATCTGGCAGTGAAGGGGGTACCGGCGGCACCGGCGGATTTGGGGGTCACGGCAGAGATCTCAAATGTGGGTTGTCGCCCAGAGGTGGATATCCTCTGGGGTAATTAGGTGGGAGAGTACCGTTGAACCCTTTCCCTTATCCTTAGAGGAGGGTCCGGCCCCTTCATCCTCTGCCTGCCCATTGTCCTCTCCCCCTCCTCCAGCATCAATCCGTTGATACTCAAATGGGGGCGGCATCGGTGCCAGCCTTTGGTACGTGGTACAGCCTTGTTTTGGGTATTCCGGATTACAGATGTTCCATACGATGGCCGCTCGGTGCCATGCATCGACTTCGAGAATGTTCTTCATCAAGTACTCATCCCCGGCCAGTTGGGCATCGAGATAATCTTCTCCCACTTCCGAGAGGAGCCACTGCGGATCTTGGACCATATCTTCCGCAATCACTTCATACAAGTTTCCCCAGGTTAGAAGGTTCAATTCCAGGGGAACCACAGTTATGGGTTCAGTCAGAACCTGCTTTATCTGCCGCATCACCTCCTTCATTATCACGCTGATGGGCAGCTTCCTCGGCATTCCAGCGGACGAGCTCGTCGGCACTCCACTGGCGGCTTCCCCTGAGGGTCCATGGCCCATCTCCTCCTGCCTCTTGCTGTTGTCTGGCTCGACGGGCCCGCTCTCTATTCCACTCTGTGAGATCCGAGCAGTCCTCATCGAGTGTCTCGAAGAGGAAGTCCTCAAGGATCTCCTCGTGTCACTCCAGGTTGTCGTGTGCTCTTCGGGAAGCCTCTCGAAGTCTGAGCTCAGCAGTTCCGATCCTTCGGTGAGCCTCTGCATCTGTGGCATCTGGCTCGAGGGGGAGGTTAAAGCTGAGGTCTCGTATGGCACGGCGCTCTGCATTTTGGGAGCATGTGCTAGCTGCTCTTCCTCTGTCCACGAGGGCCGCTCCTTCTGGGGTGAGCTGGGCAACTCGAAGGTTGAAGTTGGACTGGATGAGCGTGTTGTACTCATCGGTCCAGGGTCTCTGATTGATGGGGAGTGGGATGGCGAACGCCTGGGGTGCGACTGACAGAGTGAAAGCAGGGACTCCAGGGAATTCGTTGGAGGAGGCACTTCCTCCAAACTGACGGAGTATGCTTCTTCCCTCCTCGGTGTCTCCCAGATACTCTGTCCACTGTATCTCTCCTCTCTCCTCCACACTTGCTGAGGTTCCACTGGTATCTGTTCCACCGGTGGAGGTGCTTCCTGAATCAGTACTGGGGTCAGGGTCCGGGTTGTATGACTCAATGGTGTCCCAGATACGCTGCTCCGTTTCAGCAGGGAGGGCAACGGTCCTCAGGACAGGGGTGTCCTCGGGCCCTGTGGCTTGGGTTGATACTCCGGCCACAGGAGTTTCTTCCCTGGCAAAGACCCAACTTGTTGCGGGGTACCACGCCACAGGGATCCCTTGCCACTCTCTTCCACCGCCTGGCACAATTCGACCATCATAGGGGTCTGCTCCACCTGGACGGGAGGTAGTTGCGGTGGAGGCCCCAAGACCAAGCTCTCCACTGTCCTCCTCAATGTCGTCTCCATGGCGGTTTCTACTGGGGCCTGTGCCGCGCCACTCACTTCCAGAATCGAAGTCATCCCTTTCTTCCGATGGATAGAGGACATCGAGGAGGTCTTGGAGACAGATCCTTTCGAGGTCTGTGAGCCCGTCACCTTCGAACTCTGTGTCGTCACTGCCTTCTTTGCTCTCATCCATAGCCCCTCCTTCTTCTCCTCCAATGGAAGGGAGGTCGATGATGCCTGGGGGAGAGACATTGATGTCTCTGAGATCAATGCCTCATACGTCTGTGATGTCGACGGAAGTTGCTCTTGGGGTTGGGGAAGACTCCCCGGAATCTGTGGATTCTCCTCTAGGTGTGATGGGTCATCCATCATGAAGCGTGGGTTGCACTGGAATGTGCGGGTAAGGGACGGTTGGGTACGGGATCGAAAGATGAGGGATGTAATGAAACAGGAGTCTTGCCCTTCGTGCGCGAGTGCAACACCTGTAGACTGCCCTGATGGCGAATGCTAGAAGTGCTCCTGCTAGTAGTCCAAAAGCTACTGCGATGGTTGGGAGCAGTTCAGCAAGTGGCATACAAGTGATCGAATGGTAAGGAGAAGGAGTGCAATGAGGATAGCGATGATGAGGTTGGTGTCAGCCTCAGGATCGGACATCCAGGGGTGAAGAGAAATGGAGTCGGTTTGATTGGGTTGGATGCTGCTTGTTACGATGAGCAGAAAGACTGCGATAATCATAAGCAGCTGGGTAAGGTATGCGTAAAGCAATAGTTTGGGGTAAGTGTCCTTCCGTCAGTCCACTCGCAGTACACTAACAGTCACAGAACTGTCCTTACGAATGTACGGTGATGACCTCTCTGGTTGGACTCGGGTCTTGTACTCGACAAGGCACACTGGTCAACATATAACAAAGACAAGTAGTATGCAATGTGAGTTTTGAAATTAGCAGTAAAGGGTTGTTGGGCAGCATTTGTTCTCTGACGTGGCGCTGGGCAATGAGTTGTCGAGCTTCGGCTAAATGTCAACAACCAACTAAAATCGACTTAGATCGACTAAGGATTGCCACTTGCACTTCGGTGGACGATAGACTCAGAAGTCAAAGAAGATTAAAGAGAGTCGATTGAGGACTTAGATAGTCACGAAATGTGGAGCTTTGAGTTGGGTAGATTAAACCTTAGCCGAAGCTGGGGTTTAAGCCAGCGAGGCTACTACTTAAATACACTGGGATAGACTAATAATAGTACTGTGGGAGATCATCCATGATGATCGCATATGAGTAATCAGGCTGAGTAAAACGAAGAAAAATGAATAAACCGTAACATATTGCTGCCAGTAGCATCTGTCATGGAATTTCAGTCAACAGCTTCAGTATAGGATCATCAGTCATGGTATTTGGTATCTTGCTGTCAGTTTCAGTATAGGATAGTCTCCGTGTAGACTCAGGATTAGTATCAGTTTCGTTTTGCCATCATTAACCTCAGTATAGTTTCAGTTTCAGTCCCAGTCCAGCCCAGTCCCAGCCATCATTTTGCCATCACTAGTTCCCCCTCATATCATCACCAGTTCGTCTTATCGCCAGTTTCTCGTTTCTCGACTACAGTCTTCATCTCTTGCCATCACGGTATTTGTTATCTTGCCAACGGTATTTCTCTTTGACGGTATTTTCTCTAATTCCGTCAACATTGCCCACGGCTTTTACTAGTTAAATTGCCGTCACTTCATTCATGGTTTGCCGGTATTCCCAGTTATACCGGATTCTGTTCTTTCTCGTCTATCGAGACCCTTCCCGGCTTACAGCCAACGTTTTCTAGTACTTGATCGTTAAGGGTACTACTTCGCTGACTGAAAAGTCGCAGTGTATACTTGCATTCTTGAGGAATTCATCACATGGAGGTGCACTGAAACACTCGCACAACAACAAAGCCTTTATTGCCACTACACGCCATTTGCCGTGAACTCCTCTAGAGTTTTGGTTTTTGCCGTTGCCATGGAAGTTTAGGCTCATCAACACCTTCTCTTTCTCACAGCCAGAGAAAGTCTTGTTGAGTATCAGACCGACCCTCATCACTTCGATTCAACCTTACCACATGAGTTTAATAATTTGCTACAGCCTCTGAGTTCACAGCTAGAACTTGGACAGTCTCTTTAGAGCTCTTATTCGTTGTACTCACAGCTAGAGTTACAACAGGAACAAGGTATAGTTCTTGTACATTTACTGATTCGTTTTAGAGCCTCTTCTAGGATCCCTTTCCCAATTACTTCCCTTCTCGCAAATTTTATAGTTCGCTACCACCCTCTATGCTACCAGTAAAGAAATTTCTTTATCTTTCTGAACTTAGGAGGCTTTAGTCACTGCACGGAGGTGCCCGACTAGACTCGCTAGAACCATCCTTCAGATTCTGTGTCTGTCAGCACATACTGCACCTAGGTTTTGTGTTTCCACCCACGGGAGTCTATAGGTTCATCACTGTTTGTATTAATCCTAAAGCTCATACCATAATTACTGTAGATACAGGCTCCTATACCTAGAACACAAATCGTATAAATTAGCAGTGACTAGACACATAATGGCAGGAAAGCATTCCCCTGCATTTGTGCTAGTAGCCTGTATAGCTACCTAATCAATCACTGGTTTTATTGCATATCCTCAACTGAAGTGAATTAAGTTTACCTAAAGTCAACCCATCAGGGTGACTACAGTAATCTAGAAGAGTTAAAGTAGGAAATAGAGTCATCCCCATGTTTGGACCTTGCTAGTTAATTGAAACTGCTCCACAGACAAAGGCCTCATGCTTCCTCTCTGAGATTAGCGATCTATATGTGCTGAGTCAACTCTGAGTCGAAAGTCATCATCTAGTTGAAGTGAAATAAGCCTTAGAACACTTTAAGTTCAAACAATCATCGAGTTTAAGGAACTCTAAAGTCTGTGTACTCTTTGCAAGTCTTGTACTTGAAGTCAGAACCTGTGTGTTCTTTGTAGAGTGATTTTGTGCTCTTTGTAGACCTCTGAGTCTTTGGTTGTTTAATTAATTGAAGCACCCACTAGAAGCTCATCTAGATGACATTTTAAATGAGTATAACTTGCTTATCCATACCTTACATAACAAGTTCATAAAAACCCACTATTGTGGACTAGTGTACTTTGTGTAAAACACATTGAGAAAAGAATTGAAGTTGCTTTCAAACAAGAACCCACTTGATTATCTAAATCTAAGTACATTGTGAGTGCTTCTATTGTACTTACCCTTGAACTTATATACATTGGTGATAGTGTGTGTATGGGTGTGATTTAATATCTAGATTAATGATCTAGACCCTTTGTCTCATTTTCACACTGCCCATTACTGAGCACATCAATGTACAGAAGTACACATGATGAAACCATCTGAGCCGCCTATCAGATTATTTCACAAAAAAAGGCATAGACCCAGCCAGAAAGTATCACTTCATGAGAAACGATCATGTGAAGATGAAGATGCCCAAGAAGCCCCTGTCACCATGCCAGGCTTGTGGCAGCCCTGAACACTGGAACAAAGAATGTCCTGACTGGGATTTCTTCCTTACACTACAACAGAAGTTGGCTCATGTAGGTGAAGCAGTGGGAACAGATGACCTGACAGAACAGGCATATCAAGCTTCATATCAAATCCTGCTGTCAGAAAGGCTAGCATCCTTAGATAAACCAGATTTTGAATCAGCAACTCAAGAAGTATCCCAAAGGGAAAAAGCTACTGAGTGTAAGACCGAGACTGTGAAGTTGGAGGAAGGGAAGAAGGTTTCCAAGGTTTCCAAGAAAGTAACAGTAGAAGAAGTCGAGAAGGAAGACAATTTATTACAGAACAATTTTCCTCCAGCCTGGAACTTCATTCTAGAAGAAGTAGAACAACAAATGGAAACAGGAGAAGTGAGGGAGATGTATCATTCCTCCACAGAGGCATGTCTCATTTTTGACTGGCAAGAATATCCTCCACCTCCTCTGGAGTCGACTCCCTTTGTCCTGTGTGCTAAGAGAAAACATCCACCAGGCCTGTCAGCACAGAGGTGTCCATACTATCTGTGAAAGGGTACATCCACGATGTGCAGAATGGCCTAGTTGACTTAAGGTTGGATTCCTGCACTAATGTAACCTTAATTTCAGATGAGTTCTACTGAAGCCTAAAGAATAAGCCAGCTCTGAAAATAGGTGCACACATGAAACTATTTCAATTGACAGACAAGTCAAAATAAATTGAAGGATATGTTACCATCTCTATCCTAATGCAAACACAACAGGATGCAATAGTGGAAACAGAAGCTAAAGCTTACATTGTACTGGGTATATCAGTGTCTATCCTACTAGGCAAGGACTATCAGTAAAATTATGAGTTGATAGTAAAGAGACACATGGAGGAAGGCACCTCTGTTCATTTTGGATCAAAGGCTTTTTCAGTACAAGCAAACTCCATAGGCCCTACAAATGACTATAAAACTCTGAGAGCTAGCATACATGATGTTATCCATTTTGTCTATCACAAGACACATCAGAGAAATCAAACAAAATGTCAACAGGCCCAGAACCATGCTAAGGTTTTCAATAGCACTGTGGGAGCAGATTGGGACTATTATCTGAAACCTCACTCCTGCACAAATGTTTCAGTGGAAGAGAATTTTGAAGAAGACAGGGAATGGATAGTTGAAAAAGGGTTGCTCCCCAAGAGCAGAACAATGTTCTTTGCCACTTCAAATGTACTCATCCATTCTAGGAACCCTGTAGTCCCTATAATGAACCCAAGCAACCAGCCTCAGATGATTAGGAAAGGGGAGACTATTGAGTGTATTTACAAAGCTGAGGAATTTTTTGACACTTCCTGAAGCGAAGAGGAACTATGGAGCGATCGGCTAAGTCACCACTACTTTTGAACAACGGAAACTGGTCTGGCAATTTTTCTCAGAAAATTAATTGCTCTTGTAAAAAAAATTGTTTTAGGTGTATCTACATCACCACAAGAGCAATTAACCATACGATGAAAATTAATAAAGTTGGTTTAGTTGAAATGGCCACACCTTCCTTAAAAGGAAATATAGGGTTAGGGTTTCAGCCACATGATGTATCCCTAGCTGACAAACCATCCCAATACTAGGCTACTATCCATCTGTGTGTGCGGTATTCCCAATAGCAGAATGTCTTAACAGCACTTATGAGGCATGAAGGTGCAGTTTACAGTTGGTGCACACAAAATAAGAGATGTTCAAAAAAATTTTTTTACCAACCTGAAATAGCCACTGTCCAAAAATAGTGGTGACTAAGCTGATCGCTCCATAGTTCAACTGGAGGCTATGACTGTCCAAATCAAAGGCTTGATCAACTTACAGATGGAAAAAGAGAGGGATAATTCTCTGGAAATGGTACATACTGACTCAGAAGAAGAGGAGGAAGAGCTGGGATCTAAGACAGAGGCTATACCAGACCCCTTGTCAATCCCTTCTAGTGAGTTCAGGAATATAATTGATGTGGGTTCCATTCTGGAGCACCTAAGAGAAGAAGCTTGAACAATGCTCAAAAGCCATGTTCAGGCATTTGAGTTTGATGGACAACTGGGGAATCATCCTGCTAAGGCAAGAATTAGAATTAAAGAAGGTACTGAACCAATCTCCATACCTATGTACATAGCTTCTCCACCAAAGAAGGAAGCAATGGATAAGCAGATTGACATCTGGTTCAAGTAAGGAGTCATTGAACCCTCTAAGAGTCCATGGAGTGCTCCCATGGTGATCGCCTATCACAATGGTAAGCCTCGATTCTGCATGGACTACAGATGATTGAACGCCAAAACTATTCCTGATGAATTTCCCATACCTCGGCAATCTGACATCCTAGCTACACTCTCGGGTGCTCAAGTCCTATCATCTCTGGACACATTATCAGGATTCATGCAGCTTGAAATACATGAAAATGATGTGGAGAAGACTACTTTTTGCATGCACCGAGGATTGTTCCAGTTTCTGCAGTTGCCTTTTGGCCTACACAACAGTCTTTCTATTTTCCAAAGGGTCATGCAAGGAATCTTATCACCTTACTTATAGTCATTTGCTCTTGTATACATCGACGACATAGTTGTGTACTCTAAGATGTATGAAGAGCACATACATCACTTGGACAGTGTCCTTACAGCCATCGAAAGGTCCAGCATTATGCTATCCCCTTCTAAATGTCACTTCTTCTATGACTCAATACTGTTGCTGGGACATCAAGTCACTCGCTTGGGATTGTCGACTCACAAAGAAAAGGTCAAGGCCATGATGGAATTGAAGCATCCAAACAAAGTGTCAGAGCTGCAGACCTTCCTCAGAATGATAGTGTACTTTTCACTATTCATACCCTACTTCGCAAATATCTGCAGTCCATTATTCCAGCTGTTAAAGAAGGGAGTTAGATGGAAATAGGGAGTGGACAAGGAATTCACATGGCAGTCTGCAAAGCATAGTCTATGAATGGCTCCCTTGCTTGAGCATCCTGTGGAGGGTCTACCCTATCACCTATACTCAGATGCTTCTGATGAAGCATTAGGCTGCACCTTACAACAAGTACAGAAGATCAAGGTCAGGGAATTGAAAGATACTAAGGCATATGAGCTCTTGAGCAAAGCATGGGAGAAAAAGGAGGACTTACCTTGCTTATACACCAAGACAAGTGAAAAGATGAGCAATACAGGGTATGATCAACAATGGGGAGATATGTTAGATGAGACAGATGTCTGGGTGGAGAGAGTCATCGGATATTACTCCCGAAGATTTAAAACAGCAGGAACTCATTACTCTACAACAGAGAGGGAAGCCCTAGCATCCAAGCAGGGTTTAGTGTGATTCCAGCCATTCATAGAAGGGGAACTAACCTATCTAATCATGGACCATTCTGCTCTACAATGGGCCAAGACCTATGAGCACACTAACTGATGGTTAGCTTCTTGGGGAACAATATTCTCAGCCTACACTCCTAAGCTAATCATAGTGCATCGAGCAGGAAGAAAGCACTCGAACATTGACCCATTGAGCTGACTTCCTAGAGAACCTCCAAGCCATATATCCTCAGTGACCAATGCTACTTCATTCACCCTGAAACCAGACTTGGACCTAGCTTCAAAATAGGAGGAGGCAGTGAGCTACAAACCAGCCAAACATTTCACAGAAGCATTTGTGATAACCAGATTGGGTATGAAGATTATTGCTCAAGGATATGGAAGAGACAAAGAGCACAGAGGGGTGATGATCAGAGATGCCCAAGGAGGAAAGGAAAGCCAAAGAGCCCTCTGACAAGATACTCCCCTTATCTAGTCAATATGAAAAGATGAACGTCCTGATCAGAGTACCACTTTTACAGATATCAGATGCCTTAAGGAAAGAGTTCCAGGAAGAATACAAGAAAGACCCTCAATTTCACTCCATCAAATCTTCAGCCCATAATAAATAAAATCTCCAGACTCCTGCAGAAAGATTCTTCGTAGATGCAGACTTCGTGTCTCACCTATGTGTTCCTTGATTGAAGAAATGGAACATCTTATGAGAAGCATACGAGAATGTGATGGTGACCACCCATCTAGGACCTGACCAACTGTGGAATAAGCTATCAACTCAGTTCTATTGGCACTGCATGAGACTAGACATTGAAAAGTACTGCAACACCTGCGATGTCTGTCAGAAAATCAAAACAGGTAATCTAGAGTGAGCAGGATTCCTGATACCTAGCCTCATACCTTCACGACCATATGAATCCCTCTCCATGGATTTTATAGTTGACCTTCCCTGGTCTGACAGGTTCAACACTATTATGGTAATAGTAGACTGACTCACCAAACATGTCTAATTTATTATAATGATGACTGGTCTAAACACAGAAGGGTTTGGACAGCTGTTTGGCAAGGAGGTCATATGTCAATCCAGTCTACCCAACAGCATCATATGTGACCAGGACCCTTGGTGGACCTTGGAATCCTGGAAGGGAGTAGCAAAAGTATTGCAAGTAGAGATGGCCTATTCATCCTCTCACCACCCACAGCATGACAGACAGACTGAAGTAATCAATTACTCACTGGAGATAATGTTGCAAGCCTATGTATTGGAAGATAAGTCAGACTGGGCTTTTTGGATCAAACTGTTAGAATTCACCTTCAATGCCCACATCTCACAGACAATGGGTCCTTCCCTGTTTCATTTGCTGATGGGATTTGTCCCTCATTCTGCCTTTGACTTAAAATTTCTGCCAGTGGACTGGGATCAGTCATGCCATGGATTTACAGATAAAGGGGAGGCCTTCATTAAAGGCTTGGATGCACACCAGTGAAGAAGCTGGCTGTGGGCACCTGTGGAATAATGAGCAGGCTAAAAGGCAAACCTCAAAAACCCACACACACACTCACACAACTACACAAACTACAATCACCCTTGTAAGTTCTAGGGGGAGCAATTATTTCTAATGCAACCTGACTATACTTCAATATCTTGAAGAGTTTCTCTTATTCTCAATGCTCTTAGCAAAGCTAAGCTTTCTCTAATGAATTCCTAAGTCTAGGAACTTTTACAGGAAGGTTGTTCACTGGTGTGACATGACCTTCAAGGCATATTTGAGTTAAAATACACAAGGGACACTGATCCCAGCAGAAACAGAGGCAATACATGCTGAAACTTTAGTGAGCTCACTAAAAGAACACCACAAGCAAGCACTGACTTAGCCTGCTCACTACACAACTGTGTGTAGGGGTCCTCCAACTAACTCCAACAGATGATCTCGACTCAAGAACACTTCAGAAGTGCTTGGAAACAGATTCAGAAATGGAACTTCGAACAGAACAGAACAGAACAGAACAGAACACAGATTTCCACTTTGAAACATTCTCTAAATGGACTTATCACACTTAACAGAACAGAAACAGTGTCACTGAATTGTATTCACTCTGGCTAAGTTCTCTAAAGTCTTTCTCTAAAGGTTTCTCATATTTCTCTGAGTGAGCTTGCTAACTCTATGCAAAGCTCAAAGTCACAAACTGATCCTTTGCCACAGAACTGCCTTCAACATATCCACTGGAA